CAGTTGTCCGTATGGAGTGTGTACCCAACTGTCTGTGGCCTGTTTAACACGATTGCTCGTCTGGAAGTTCATACCCAGCGGCTCGTGGTCCTTTAGGTGTTGGCGCTATAAAAAAAAGTCAAGGGAATGAGAGTTCATTTGCAAGTGGTCAACCGGTTAGATTCAAAATGGCCCGGTTGTCCACTTGAGGGGGAGTGTTAGAGTACATCCCACATCGGAAATCTATGAGTAAAATAATCGGTATATAAGCTCTAGAGTTGAATTAACTAATAGATTGGATTCAATCTTTTAATGTGGTTCAACCCAAGTGTCTTGTTGCCCCAATCCAGTTATCTCTACCCAATCCTAAATTCTATCACAAATCTTGAAAAAAATAGATTGTTTAAAAAAATGGACAACAAAATCAGACACTGAAAACATATTTGTAAATTACTATAAATGTTATTTTTCGACAAATTTAGTCAGATTTTTTTAGTACGATTGTAAATTTAAGTGTGTGAGTGAGTGATGGCCGCGTTGCCCATTGAGAACGTGTGAAGATTAAATTTTGGAAATAGTACAAAAAAAAAGAGAGAGTAATAATTGGAAATTGGACTGCAGCCATTGTTGGATGTCAAGTGTACATTAAGACCCTACTCTTATTTTCACCATTCTAATACTCCGTAATTTCTTTTACCGGACAAGTGCTAGTGGAAACTTTGAGTATGATTTTTGTTACATTGATGTAAATTTTTTGGTGTACAAAAAAGTTTTATCCTAATTTACTTACTAACCCTCCCCCATCTTTGAATTATTTTGTCTCCTTGTCCATTCCACTGATAAATGTTCTCTATTTCCCCCAAAAAAGAAAAAACACTACACACGAGCTTTCATCTTATCTGGTCCCATTTCGCAACCCTTACCCCCACGGTAAAAATTTTCAACTTTGAATTGGGAGAAAGTCTCATTCTTGCCAATGGAGCTAAGTAGGTAGTTTTTTAATATGTTTCACGCAAGGGTAAATAATGTACTACGTCAAAATGATACTCCATCCGTCCCAGTATTTGTCCACTTTCATTTTTACACATCATCTAATGCACTTCTTTAATCCATTTTATCTTGTAATTTGTATATTAAAAAATTATAGAAATTATATATTAATAATCTATATATGTTAAGACAAATCAAACAAGATTACACATGACTATATTTAGGCTTACACATTGAGAGAATTTGATGAGTCAAAGTGCTTAGATGAACAGTTCCAAAAGTCAAAAGTGGACAAAAACTGGGGGACGGAGGGAGTACGTTAAGTTTTCTTACTTTTTATCAAGCTTTTACTCATACCAACTACACTATAGGGGGCAAAAAGTTGGGCGGTTAAGAAAACCCTCATTCGTCAGCTTACTCAGCTGCATGTCCCAGAGATGCGGATGTTACAATACGTGAATGTGGGCAGACGAGGTTAAATAAGATTCCGAACGAGGTTATCCAAGGTCGAATAGGCATGACACCTGTGAAAAATAAGTTGCGGAAAATGAAGTTGAGGTGTTTTGGGCATGTTAGGCGGCAGGATGCTGCCACCTAATGTGGAGATGCGAGAAGCTTACATTAATGGGTGGGAGTTTGAAAAAGAGTAGACCTACGAAGAACTGAAAGTGATTACACATGACTTATTTCTATTATCATATGTATATATATAAAATTGAGCGGATTAATTGTGGTTGCGCCATGTGTCACGCCATGCAAGACTTTGCCTTCCAAGTATTATGCCATGTGTTGCCACCTAAGCTCTTTTACCAAATGTCATGCTATGTGTTTTATTTTATGGAGAAATTTTAAAGTCACAAACACTTCAGTGACAAAAATACATAATTTTGCAATTTGTGCGCCTCACGAAGTGAATAAAATGATGTTAATTGAGTAAAAAGTAAACATTTAGTTTGTGTATTTTGTGACCAAAGTATTTGTGATTCTAGCAATTCTCAATTTGATATCATGTGTTGCCAATTTCATGCCATGTAATAATATATTATATCTTCATTCCATTACACCTTTTCACTTTAAAACGTGTGTGATTTAAGAAATGTGTAATTTTGGTGATATTTTCTAAATTTTTTCCTTTACTTAATAGTAGCTAGGGTCAGATATGATGTAATGAATAAATTAATAGTAAATGAATGTAATGTAATATGTAGATTAAAAATTAATACATATGATGTGATTGGTAAGATAATAATTAGTATGGCTAAAAGAGAAATTTTAATTGAAAGTGAAGTGTTTTTTAGACGGATGAAAAGTAAAAGTGGAAATATTGTTTTGAAACAAAAAGAGTATTATATATATTTTATTAGACTATATTGGTTCTTTCCATATACTTCCTCGTATTTTGGCCTTTTCCTATGATTTTTATTGTAAAAAACGTAGAATGTCTACGAGCCCGTGCGAAGCACGGGGTTAACACTAGTTATAGATATAACATTAGATAGAAGTGTTCGAGTAGAGTAGTTGGATATGCACCTTGGGCTGGGGATTGCATTACTTTTCTTTCATTAGTTATAATTTGTTCCTTGCATGTAAGTTTATGTGCTATTTTTTTTCATTTTTAACATAGATAAATTTGTGTATATCCTGATCCCAGATCCCAACCGAGTTGGGATAATAGTGAGTTTGTTGTAATTGGCAAAAAGTCCAATGTCCCAACAGAAAACACACATGTTTTCCTTCATTTTCTCCTGTAATGACACTATTGACTAATGAATGAGATTTAAGATTGTAAGTAGGTGTTAAACCTAATCAAGCTTTGCCTTCCAGCAACTACAGGCCCTTACTAATTTAATGCAATATAAAAGTTCAAAGGTGTCCCTTCCAAACACAGCATTACAGCTCATATGTACAGAGGACATGTTTTTTCCAACAGACCAGAAGTCCAGTACTGGTCCATTATTACAGGTCTAGGTTCATCTGCAAAAAAAAGGGCATCTAAAACAGAGCATTTTTCAACAAACAAAACAAAAAACCACTGCTCATATAATAGTAGCACCCATGTTGAGTTGAATCTGATGCAAGTTGCATAAGAGGACAGTGTGAAAACATGGCATGTTCTTTTTCCTCATCTTGTTGATCTGTGTTACCTAATCCAGTTGGATACTGTCTCAGTTCATACCCCAAGCCTTGTAGTCTATATATAAAAGCTGTTCTCATGGTGGATCACTCAGTCAAACCACACTCATTCACTCACACTCTCAAAGCATTCCTCTTTTTTTGTAAAGAAAGCTTCACAGAGGAAGGAAGAAAGAAAAGGAAAATGGCAACAAAGATGAGCTGCAGCTGGTCTGCTGAGAATGCCACAAAAGCTTACATCAGAACAATGAACATGGCAAGGGCAGAAGGCGCCAACCAGCTCAACGGAGCGGAGTTTGTCTCCGCTCTGGCAGCAGGGAACAATGCCCGCTACACCGTGGTGGCGTGCTCCGGTCATGCAGACTCAATCACCCTCGCCCTTGCCACAGCCTCCCACCAAACAGGAGGCCGCGTCGTCTGCATCCTCCCAGAAGCCGGCCTTCTAGAAGCTTCCAGACTCTCTCTGGGCTCAAACGTTGAGTTCCTCGTGGGGGATGCCCAAGAGCTTCTGTCAAGTGACTACAGAGAGGCAGACTTCATAGCCATCGACTGCAACCTTGAGAACCATGAGGAGATCTTCAAATCTGTTCAAGGGAGTGGAAGGCAGTGCAACACTGTGGTGTTGGGTTACAATGCATTTGGGAAGAGATCGTGGAGAAGCAGCAGTTTGAGGATCAGCCTGTTGCCGATAGGCGAAGGGTTGTTGATGACAAGAATTGCCAGTGCTAATAAGAAGAGTGGTGTGGTGGGGATGGAGAAGAGAGGGCGTTTTGTTGTGAAGGTGGATAAGTGCACTGGGGAGGAGCATTTTTTTCGGGTCAGGTCGACCCAGCCGAGACCAGTGATTCAAGCTTAGATCTATCTATCTATCATGTCACTGCCCCTCTCATAGCTCCAACCCAAGCAGGCTTACCTACTCCAAAAACAAGAGTCCTTAACTAAAGTGTGCATATAACTCATTTCATCTGGTGCAGATTCATTCAGCAGATCACACCTCACTTTTTCCCTGCATCTTTTTTTTGTTGTGGCAACTCCAGGACTGTCAAGTTTCTGTGTCACAATTATCCCATTTTTTCATTTCATACAATTGTATGGTTTCATTGTTGAGATGTATATGAACATTTTTATTGGAAATGGGAAGACCAAACAGTTCATTCAATTATGAAGTACCCACCATTTTGATCAATGTGAATCCTTTTATATTATAAGATCTGAAGTTACACTCATGGACTGGTAAACTGCTAATGAGTGATATTGTTAAGCAGATCCAGATCCTTAAACCCAAACATTATTAGCAAAGGTTTAACCGTGTGATAGATATTGAAAAGTATACAAAGAGCAATTCCATTTTTGTTACTCCATAGTGAGTAGTGAGAACCAACTGCCCACAATTCTAAGCTTTGCAATTTGCAAAGCTCAAGCCTTGGAAAAAAGATATGAACCCCAAAAATGATAGCAGTTAAATTAAACTATAATCTTGATCTGACACTAAATCCAATGTGGTTTTGTATATTTTCTTTTATTAAGTACTCCAATTTGTTAGATACATTCTTCTTTTAAGTTTGTCACAGAATTATGTTCACTTTCCCAATTTTTAGTGTCACTAACTTTCTACTGTACTTTTTGTCACATTATTCTCTTTTTTTCTATCCTTTAGCATTTGTACTTTTTTTTGGGCTAATGTTACTTTTCTTTTTAAAGACCATGGTCAGCATGAATGTGTCTTACATTGATATGGTGGTGTTTGTTACAGATTTTCACCCTAGCTTTACACTTGTGCTATTTGTTATAGCAAACGGTGGCTTGGAGTGTTCGCATAGTAGAAGATTGAAATTGAAACTTCTCGAAAACAATTGCATTGGAACTCTTTGAGATCTATGGTGCTAGAAGCAATTGCGAAAAAATGTCATTATGTATTGGATTACATAGTTTAACATAAATGAAGAACAGGTTTCTACTCTGAATAATTTAACCTCATTCTTGAAAAGTCTAATATATCTAAAGAACTTGCGTTTCCAACCCAAAATTTGGATGAACCATGGAAGGGCATTAAACCGTCAAACACATTCCTGCTGTCGGTTCCAAGCCACAACATCTTTGTACGCCAAATTTCCACCAAATATGTCTAAAGCACTTCCCACGGTAACATCCACACGATTCATCCCCGCGATTTTTATCCTATCTAAATCCAACATTGTAGTGACGCCACCAGCATAGGTAACAGGAATCTTAATTCATAGATGCAGCAAAATAGCCAGTAATGAGAATGACAAAGGTTAAGATAGAATAATGGGATGGACACAGTACACAAATAAGGACTGGCTCTAATAAAGACACTCACAGGGGAATGTTTTCCAAGCAGTGTGACAAGCTCTTCATCTATCCCCAACCTGTAATATCCCAGCAGCATAATGAATTATCAAAATCAAGAGGACACCCAAGACTTCATGCTCCGTTTGATTGCTGTGAAAATTGTTCTGTGAAAATGCTTTCCATGGAAAATGTTTGGCGGAAAATAAGTTGTTTTATTGGCAAAAATATGGTTTTTGTACAGCAAATATAGTGTTTTAAGCTGAAAAATATAGGTTTTAACATTTTTGTCCCTGAAAATATAGTGTTTTTCATTTTTTGCCCTTGCAAATGTAGTGTTTATGGGTTTTGTTCCTGCAAACATTTGGATTGTGTTGTGCCCCTAATGTTCAAACTCAGTCAATAAGTTAAGAACGTAGCGGTTGATTATTGTTACGAACTTATGACACATGAATGTTATCGGACACCGATGAGAAGAGGGAGCTCAAACGACTTACTTTTTTCCTTCAACATCAACTCCATGGACTAGAAATTCATCCGCATACCGGGCAAGAAAATCCAGCACTTTCTGATTTACATGCACATCACTAAACTTCTGCCATCTGTCCGTGACAATTACATACTTACCCTCCTGTATACCATTTTGTTCTTTCATTAGTTTTAAGCAATTAAGCTTATCAAGAAAAGAGACACCTAAACTCAGAAGACATAGGACCTAATAATATGTCTCAGAACTCGGAAGCTTCCGTAGCAAATGGTAAACAGTTGTGTGCCTCTGTAAAAATGATACAAAAGGAAACAAAACCAAAGTAATATATCAAATTTGCCTATAAGAAGAGCAATGTACCTTTTTACGACAACTGAGATCTAGAACAAGTCTGTGCTTTCCAACAACCTGGGCAAGCTCTTTAAGTCTGTCAATGTCCATTTGCCCATTCTTGAATACATACTGCAATGCAACCATGTTAAGGAAGTTGTTTTCCTTTCCCAAGATGTCAGACATCAAGAGGCAGGCAAATTACAAGTGGACAATCCTCGTGTTTTGAGGTGCATTTAAATGTCAAAATGAAAAATTTAGGTTATTCAAAAGGAAACCTACAGAGGTAACAATAGCATGGCTTGCTCCTGCTTCTATGTAACTTACAGCATTGGATGAATTTATGCCGCCTCCGATTTGCAAGCCACCTATGCAAAAATCACCAAATATGCATTAATGAGCAAGAAATAAAGTAATTCAGACTCAAGACCAAACCATCTGGCCAAGCATAACGAAATAACAAAATACGATATAAACTTCAAAAAATTACTGGCACCCAATGAAATTAACGGCAACACAACATATGATCCTTTTTTAATATTAAAAAAAAAAGTCAATAGGATACCAGGATAAGCAAGTATTGCTTCAATTGCTGCTGCTTGGCTCAGGGGGTCAGCTCCAAGCATGATTACATGACCGCCTGTGAGCTCATCGCCCTTATAAATCTTAGCATATTCGGCAGCTGACTTATCAGATACGAAATTGGTTACAAGACTTGAATCTCCATCCTTAGTGTCTTGCAGCGTGGATCCAACAATCTGCTTTACTTTCCCCTGTAAATAAGTCTTGACCACTGAGTAACTCTATCAAAGTGTCAGAAAGGTTTTTATTCGAAGTCACTAACCACATTAACACAATCCTTTCAGAAATCTTAATTCTCGAACATTCAAAAATCAAAGAATCTAATAATAATAATAATGACAATAATAATAATAATAATAATAATAATAATATAAACAGACAGAAACTGAAAGACCAAACCTTGTGTATATCAATGCAAGGGCGAAACCGAGCACTGCATTTTATTGCTGGATTTCTGTAACCTACGGCCAAAGAAACCAACTATTAATGTTTTAATCACAATAATTATAATCATAGTAAGCATGAAGAATGGCAATCTGCTAGAGCAACAAGACAAACCAATGATTGGAAGTTGTGTGTTTCTGCTTTGAAAGGGAAGTGCCAAGTTGAGAGTTTCCCTGCAAAAGAAGATTGGTTTCGAGGAGGCATAATTTGCTCCCATGCTCCGAAATCTCTGTGTTCCACTCGGGCTCAGTTCAAAAACCTAAACAATGAGTGTATTGTTGATCCCACTATAATACATATGGACATTTGGCCGAACTGCGCTGTCTACTTTGGCCAGGAAGAACGCAGCAGCTCCTGTTTTGAGCTTTTGAAATTTAAGCTAGGATTTTGGGGTCCGTTTGGAGTGGAAGAAAATAAGTTCTGGAAAAAGAACCATTTTCTAAAAGTCATTTTCTTTTCATTTTGTATTCTCTGTGTTAGGCTACAGAAAAATAGGGTTTTGAAACCTAAACGGAAACTGGGCTACGAAGAAAGAAAGACGGAGCAAATTTGGGGAGGAAAATCAAGAAACTTGCCTCATCTTCCACTGGCTATGGTGGGGGTGTGGGGGTGTCGATAATGAGCTACTACGTATTTGCCAACGGAATTAGCAAGAAAACCAAGAGCAATTGAGTTTGCAGTGCCGCATGTGTGGCGGCAACGGCGGGGAGGGAGGCGCGACTGGGCGATGGTTATGGTGCGGCGGCGACCACGCAAATGGCGATAGACAGGCGGCGACCACGCAAATGTCGAAGCTATTTGATTGTGCGATAAAGGAAACAGATGGCAAGGCAGTGTAGAATAATTTAATTTAATTTACTAATTTAAAATTTCAATGAAACATTTAACTACAATTAAATTAAAAGGTACAATTAAATTTGAATATTGGCTAGCCATGGTTTTTAAGAGAGTCTTCTTATGAATGTTTTTAGTTGTTGCCTGATTGCACCTTTCAATGCGCAGGAAGTGCGAAATGAGTTGGCGTTGATTTACCAAAACCAGTTGCTTCAGAATGAGCATTCTAGTTGCCATGCATTGCTAAAGAAGAACAAGGTAAAGAATTTGCCATTCATTCCCCTCTTTTCACTTGAAAATTTAAGAGCAACTAATATTTTTAAAAAACTTAGGCAAAGTTGTTCTTGGCACACAAGTTTGGGCAATATAACCATGTAACACTTTGTGTTATGTTATCATTGTGGTAACCGTTGCAGATGGAAGTTCTCAAGACGATGTTTAGGCTTTATGATGATGTTACCATGGGATTAGATCATATTGCAAATATCTTCAAAGAGGTATAGTTATTATTGAAATTAAATGCTCTCCTTCTCAGCACAACCCCCTCTTCAGCCCTCCTAATGATGTATTTCTTCCTGCAGCATATCATTGATGAGGGGAAAGCCTTAATCCAGTGGGAAAAAGATATTACTCCCTCTGTCCTATAATGATCTTCCCAGTTCGCAAAACGAAGAAAAATCCCAAGTTTTTTCAATCTATTTTATTTAAATATTGGTATAGAAATAAAAAATAAAACATACATATTTAAAAACTACACCAAAAATTCAACAAAACAAGTGGTGACAAGAATAATTTATTTTATCATATAGGCCATGAAAAAACACAAATAAATATAAATTCTCGTGAAGTTGGAATAGTGTTCTGGGAAGATCATTATAGGACGGAGGGAGTACGATGCACCATGTATAGCTTTCTTGTACAGTTATTATTGAAATTATCTTTTGATTTCTCTATTCACTGGCATCATCAAGTATACATTTCAGAAGTACTAATTGCCTCCCAGGCTAGTTTGACCACAAATTCCTTAGTTCTCACTGCAGAGGCTTATTATCGTAGTGCATATGTTGCATATTACACTTCAATGTTCTCTCAAAGCACTCCTTCGTTTGCATAATATCTTGCATTGTCTTTGCTTCTGTTTTAATAAGGGTTGTGTATGTTACTTATTGATTGGTTTAACTTTTTCTTCCACATCAGATTAATGCCTTGGAATTAAAAAAGTTATACTGCAAGTTTATGGAAAATGTGACTGACTACTTCAACGGCCATACAATTTTTGACAAGGTTTGTTTACGAGTAATTATTTATCTCAATTATTATTTCATGTTTTATAGGCTTTGGAGGAAGCATTTGAGGTACTCTTGGACGAAGGGGTTGCTTGTAGATCAATTGTGGCTTTATTTAAGATCAATTTGAACAAAGAGGTTGCTAGTAGATCAAGTGTTGATCCAGCAGAGTCATCATTTTGTGATTGTATTCTCAAGCAAGTTGGCTTTGACAGAGTAAAGGCCTCACAGATAATGGCTCAATTAGAAAAGCTACATATGAGAAGTATCTAAAATTTTAGTTTTAGTTTAATTGGCTAAGGATATTACTAAATGCTAGTTATTGGTGTTGGCCAATGTCTCCAAGCCAAAAGTGGGCCTTGGAGTCTTCTATAATTAGATTAGTTTCTTGGGATTCTAGAATCTAGATGCAACAATAACATTCATGAATTACTCAATTTCTGATGCTGTTCGTTGACTTTGATTTTTTTAGTCCTATGAAAGTTGCAAAAACTGTGATCTATGAATCACTTCGTTGGACATTCTGATACTGTGACTTTGATTGTTAGTCATCGAAAGTTGTAAAGATCCCTATTAACAGTTAACATGAAAACTCTTTTTTTAAAACATATGGAGTAATAAAATGATTAGTTTATCATTTTAATACGGAGTATTACTTATTGACTCTACAATTGTAAATGAAATTTATTTTTTTAATATAAAGTGTGACATTATCATATTCCAATTGGCGATGATGGTGGTTGTAGTTGTAATAAGAAGAATAAGAAAAGAATACATGTAAATATTTTTTAATGTTAATTTTGGAGAAAATTGAAGAAAATAGAAAGAAATTGAAAAGAAATAAATGTATTTAAGCACTATACATGTAAAATACAAATGCATGTATTTTCATTTGTGATAGGGAAGTATTTAACTAAAAACATTCATAGTTTTAGGAAATAAAAATCCTTCCATTGAGCTGATTCCAATGAAACAAAAGGTCATTAGCTCATTCAACTATTAATTAATTAATTAATAAATTAATCCATATTTCTGTAATAAACTAACGAATTATGAACGGTTAATAGAACGCGTTATTTATTTATTTATTTGAATTGCATTCGCACCCCCGATTTTCATTTCTTCTAATCGCATAATCGACCGAAGATTTCCGCCCAGAGAGAGAGAGAGAGAAATGGGGAAAGATCTGAGCGACGATCAAAAATCCTCCATGAAGGAGGCGTTCACGCTCTTCGATACCGACGGCGATGGCAAGATCGCGCCGTCGGAGCTCGGTATCCTAATGAGGTCACTCGGCGGAAACCCGACGCAGGCCCAACTCAAAGCCATCATCGCCGACGAGAAGCTCAACGCGCCCTTCGATTTCTCCCGGTTCCTCGACCTCATGCACAAGCATCTCAAGCCAGAGCCTTTCGACCGTCCTCTCCGCGACGCCTTCAAGGTCCTCGATAAGGACTCCACCGGCTACGTCGTGGTTTCGGAGCTCAGGCACATCCTCACCAGCATCGGCGAGAAGCTCGATCCGGCGGAGTTTGATGAGTGGATCCGAGAGGTTGATGTTGGATCCGACGGCAAGCTCCGCTACGAGGACTTCATTGCCCGCATGGTTGCCAAGTGATTTCCCCCCATGTGAGTCTCTCAGTCCTCGATCGAATTTATTATAATTATAATTTACACAATTTGATAATTTTCTCCATTTATCCTTAGCTGCGATATTTTTTTGCAGTAGTGTAATGAACTATTGCACCGCCTCATTTGATGATTAAATGATTGTTAATTTCGTCAAAATGCTGGAATGGAAATATTAGGTTGAAATACATAGGTCTGGATGATGTTATGCCTGGATGATTGAAGTATGAACCCCATTTTAGGAAGATTCTTTTGTTGGTAAATAAGAAACCAATTTGGTGTTGATTGAATGATGGTGTTGACTCTTTAGTTGGGAATAGTCATTTGTTCGGCTGCGGGGATCCTAGTCGTGAGGAAATTGAACAAACATCTTTTGCAGATTCTTCTCTTGTTTTCGCAATTAATAAACTATCAGTCTCACTATCCTGTATTTCTGTGTTTGCCTTTCTTTTTAAATGTGTGTTTGCCTATCTCAACCAAAAAAACATTCTGAAATACTTTGTGGAGATTCTTGGACAAGAGTTATAGTCATGATCTCAGTATTTAGCCCATTGCCATCTGATTTAAGAGTATTTAGCCCATTTCCATCTGATTTAAGACTAATAATTCAGAAAGATTTATCTCTTTTGTTACCAAAAGTCTCGAGATTGTGGGACTGAGGCCTTGCTGGTTTAGGATGGAGTGCCAATTTTGTTATAAGACTCTTGATTTATTAGGTATAGGTGACATGGCACATGACATTTAATATGAGATATCTTTTGTTTTTCCACAATTTGATCACACACTGTGCTGTTTGTGGTAGTTTCAAGTGTGTGTGACTGTTTTGAGAAGCCAGGACAATTATTTACTGGTGTTTGCCATATTATATGCAACTGGTGTTTCTTTCCTATGCATTTCTATTTGGGGCTAATGACTAAGGGATGAAAACTTGAAAGTTTTGACATTTGTGTGGAGGGAAGGGTAAACAAGTTTTTGGATCTATATGATGTACCCTACTTCAAAATACTATAAACAATTTTCTGCTTTTGCGGAAAGTTGCACAATTCGTATATGTACGAAGGCCCAAAGAAAAGTTCTTCATAGTCTTTGTCATCATATTTTTCCATCATCTCTGATGGAGCCAAAATCTCACCTGTTTTTGGCTTTGGGGTGTGATGGAATAAATCAAAATGGATATCTAAACTATTTGCGCTTCTTTAATTAATGAAGTAGCAGTTAGTCAAGCAATGCAGCTTTCGACGTTGAGCCGGGGGTCTATTTGGAAACAGCCTCTCTACTTTCGAGTAGGGGCAAGGTCTGCGTACACACACCCTCCCCAGACCCTACTCTTGTGGGATTTAACTGGGTTGTTGTTGTTGTTGTAGTCTTTGTCATCATGTAAACAAGTACTGAAAATCGATTCAGCATATAGTTTCCGGGAAATAAGAGGAATGCTTCCGTACAATTTAGGAGCTTATCTAGCTATTATACTTGAAAGCCTAAGCTCTGTTTAGATGTTTTAAACAGAATTTATGGACAAAATTTATGCCGATTTTAAACGTTGAATGAGCAGTGCCCTTTAGGATCATGGATTTGCCAGAACCTCAGCTCCAACTTAGAACATCTTCAATGGTGTTCTCAAAGTTGGGTTTCTTAACTCAATTTTGGCGGGTCTCATAAACCCATATAGCATTATGCAACTTTAACTCGTTATCTCTTTAATAGCACAACCCGTATCTAATATATTTACCATTTATATAATACTGCCTTTATACTGACATGAAATTGTATGCTCGGAACTCTTCAATTGCAGGCACAACACCCGGTTTTAGGGGTAACTTGAATGGATTGGTTGAGCTGTTAGTTCGCTTCCTTCTACAGACTTTTAAGTCTTTTGTGTGGTGTGGTGAAGGGCTGTTTCGAAATAGTTTGCTTTGATGTTAATTTCAGTTCTTTTTTTTTTCTTGTGGGTGAAAAATTCGCATGTGTTGGATGTTTAAGGGTTAATTGTATTTGGATTTTAGTAGTCTGATGAACATATTCTTTCAAGCTTTGGGATCCAGAAGTACTTGTGGTGCGCTTTATTCATTAAAACATGTGTGTATAATGCTAAGTGGATGTTTGGCAACCCTTTTCTTCTTCTTCTTCTTATTGCTCTGACTCTCTTCTGTCTCTGGCCATAACTTTTCTATTTTTGGATTGGTTTTTCCACGGAATTCTTTTGAAAATGAAATTGTGGAGTTAGAGATTTACTCCATGCTTTAAAAATAACAGAAAGAAATCAACCATACAATTTTTTTTTTCTTTAAAAGAAAATATAGATGATGGATTTTGAAGTAGAGCTTCTTCAAACCATTTGTGAGCTTGAACATTTTTAAGCTTGTTCTATTTGAAATGTGTCTCATATTAAATTTATGGCTTATCCGCATTCATATTAATATCTTCTCGTTTTGATTTGATTTAATAGAATTATTAAAGATATACGGAGTATAACTGTACGGGTATGATTTATTTAAGAAATGGTTTAAATATATAAATAAAACAGATTTTTGTTTTTAAAAAATAAAGAAATAGCAGTTTTTTAGAATAGTTCAATAAAAAGGATAGTTTATACAGAGTATTAAGAAGTTCTTACGTGAAAATTCAAATTTGGAAGCATTATAATCATATTGTATTTATTAAATGTAAATTAATTCTATGTCATAAAAATAGTTACATAGTTCATATAATCATAGTTTATTTATTTTTCGTCTCTATAAAAAACAAACTACTCCATATCATTTAAGATTTTTTAAATTCCACAAAATAGGAAGTAATTGGGCCGGTTCTTGTGTCTAATTTTGGACTCAAGCCCAAAAAAGAAGGTGACCAAAATCACAGTTTCTTTCTACTTTCTACAACACGCGACCTCCCACTGAACGAGAGAGAGAGAGAGTGTGTGTGTGTGTGTGCCATTCCCTTCGGCCGCCTATTCCACCGCCGCTCGCCGTTCTTCCAAATTCTGGTATGCTTCCGCCACTATCAAATTTCTTTACTGAACAATTAGAAACGAATCCATCCTCTAACCACACAAACGTTAGATGTTTTCAACATCAATGCAACTTTAGATGTATAGTTTGTTAGAACTATTCGACTCTCAATTATCCACTCAAAGATCTTATTATGGCGGGCCGGATCATCACTTCCTTGATTTTTATTTGTTTACTTCGTTTTTGCTCTTTTAAGAATTAAGACGCGTAGAGAAATGCTATACAGTAATTTTATGTACTGATGCTGCGCTCTTCTTGTGGAAAAGTGACTATTTTAATGAATTGTGCTTTGGATACACCACTTTTGACACTGCCCTTTTCTTACCCGTATTAGACATTCACAAACACGAAACAATGTTAGATGTCTATAGGAATGGTGTTGTCAAATGTGGACTACCGTTGGACTACCGTGTACACATAGCATTGGACTACCGTTGGACTACCCCTTGAAGGGCGTTTCAAAGTATGCAATTATGTTTGTTATGGGTTCTTCATTCAGATTTGGCGGCATAATTGACGAATTAGACTGCATTAGTTTTTATTTTCAAGTCATCTTTTGAATTTGATATAGATAGATGGATGCATAAACTGCAGTTTTCTAGAACTTCTTTTGTGTTCGTTGGACTGGTAATATAATAATTTAGGTTTCTGCTGCAAGCAGATTGAAAGAATGGCATACGCAACAATGAA